TGGCCATTTGGTTTTATATCAAAACGGTCACTTTAAATTTCCAGGAGTAGGTGTGCGTAATTGTAGATAAAACACAAGTATGAATGGGGTGAAAGCATTTATTAGTTAAAAAAAAAAAAAAAAAAAGGTTAAGATGGTTAAAATGTGTGATGCAGCAAACACTGCTCTTAGAATTGAGCCCCCAAGATAACAGAGAGAACAACTACTTCGTTTCTGAAGTTATGATGCTTAACTAGGTTGTTCGTTTTCTATTTTGTGGTTCCTTGAAACAGAGACAGCTCTTCTATGCAAACTGTTTGTTTTATTGTCACAGATACGGCAAACAAGCCTCTGCAAATCATTTTGAAGAACGCACAGGGCCCATATGGCTGGATGATGTCAGCTGCTCAGGAAAGGAAACTAGTTTCCTTCAGTGTTCCAGGGGACAGTGGGGGAGACACGACTGCAGCCACCAGGAAGATGTTGGCATCACCTGCTACCCCGGTGGTGATGGCCACAGACTCTTTCAGGGTGAGGACCCAGACATAGCATCCAAAATTCAGTTGCCATGGCACAGCTAACCACTGGTTTGAAATGTAATGGGTTTCTAGTCTTTGACCTTTTGGGGGGAAAAAAAAAGTTTACCAGTATTACAGAATTTCGGTTCCTTAAACATTTTTACTTACCCAGGATCCTGAGTTCCTCACAAAGATGTTTATAATTGTATGCATCTGAAAGGTAACTAAAGAAACTATAATGTTTATTTATTCCCTTATTCCTTGGTTGCCTGTTCTATTTTAGTTTTAATGAGCTTTAAAACAATATTAAAATTTGGAAAAATAAAGAGTGGCCACTTCTACTCTCCCATTCATTTCTTCTTTAGTCCAAGGTCCGCTGATCTTCCCCACCACTGTTTAGTAAACTCTAACATATAGTGATAAAGTAGAATTGGCCCAGAGGTTACCAAGGCAAAAAGCTTTATGGATGTAGACAGCCACATCTTTCTACCACAGAGAGGCTGGTGGGTGTGAGCTGCCTACTTTTTTTGGTTAATAGCTGATCACTTTAATCGTTTCTCACTGTGCTTGTAAATGAATCTTTCATTGGCATTTGTAGCCTACCAAACTTAATAAGATAACCCAGAAACTTGTTGGGGAGCTTTGCTACTCTCCAGTTCCAAATGTCTTCAGACTTATAGTCAGATAAAAGATAACTGACTCCTTCAACAGTCTTGAAAATTTTACAGATAAAGATCCCATCATTGGAAGTAGAGAGCATCCTTGACATTCTAAGCATCCTTTATAAATTAAACTTCTGGTGAGGAAGGTAGAATAAATATGAATAAAACATATTGAAAGAAATAGTCAAAACGCTTGCTAGACTGCAACAACAATTTCATTTTCTATCTGTATGTTCATTTTGTGTGAATGAGTGCAGATTGGTGTATACAATAACTATGGGCACACTTTACTTTTCACCTCAGGGGTTGCATCAACTGCTTTTGTTTTTGCATATTTTTTGTTGTTGTTGTGGTTGAAAATATATACAGTAGAACATATGCCAATTCATCAATTTCTACGTATACAATTTAATGACATAGACTACATTCTTCAAGTTGTTCAACCACTCTCACCCTCTTTTTTGGAATTGTTCCTCCCTTATTAGCATACACTCATTACTCCTCAGCTTTCTATCTAACCTTTTGAGTTGCTGTTGTTAACTGCACTGGATAATCCCTCTTTCAGTCTTCTGTTCTGAGACTGTGAAGTGGAAATCTTCCAGATTCTAAAATAATAAAACTTGTTGAATCAATCCCACATTGAATATTAACCATATTGCATATGTTAAGTTTGCTACCTGGAAGACAACTGCAAGGCCAACCGATTTAAAGAGGTCCATATTTGTTACTATGAGATGACACAGCAAAATATGAAAATTATTGAACAATATAATTAATATCACAGGCAAGTAAAATTTTGCTGATGATAGTGAAAAAAATGGCTATAACAATATGTTGGCAGAGAACTGCCAGAAATTCAAGCTAGATTCAGAAGAGGATATGGCACTGGGGATATAATTGTTTATATCATATGGATCTTTGTTGAAAAGAAAAAATACCAGAAAGATGTTTACTTGCACATTATTGACTATGCAAAGTTTTCAGTTGTGTTGCATGACAAGTTATGGATAATATTGCAAGGAATGGGTATTCCAGAATACTTACTTGTGCTTATCAGGAACCTGTACATGATCAAGAGGCAGTTGTTTAAATAGAACAAGGGGATACTAAATGGTTTAAAATCAGAGCTGTAGTCTTTCACCAGATTTAATGTGTATGTTGAGCAAATAATCTGAGAAACTGGATTATATGAAGAAGAATGTAGCATCAAGATAGGACAAAGAGTCATTAACAACTTGGAATATGCAGAGTATATATAAAACCTTGCTTGCTAGAAGCCAGCAAATACTTACTGATAAAGATCAAAACTACAACTTTCATATTGATTGCATCTCAATGTAAAGAAAACAAAAATCCTCACAATTAGACTAATAAATAACATCATGATAAATGGAGAAAAAAATTGAAGTTTTCAAAGACTCATTTTGCTTGGATCCACCATCAACACTCATGGAAACAGCAGTCAAGAAATCAAATGATGTATTGTATTAGGCAAATCTGCTGCACAAGACATCTTTCAAGTGTTCAAGAGCAAAAATATCAGTTTCATGCTAAAGTGGACCTTACCCAAGTCATGATATTTTCATCAGCCTCATATGTATGTGAAAATTGGACAATGACTAAAGAAGACCATAGAAGAATTGATGCATTTGAGTTGTGATACTGGAGAAGAATGTCAATAGTACCATGGACTGCCCGAAAAACAAAGAAATCCACGTTGGAAGAAATATAGCCAAAATGTTCCTTAGAAGCCAAGATGAACAGACTTCATCTCTTATTCTTCGGACATGTTTTCAGGAGGGACCTGTCCCTGGAAAAGGGCAGCATGCTTGGTAAAGTTGAGGTGCCATGAAAAAAGAGTAAGAGCACCAACGAGATGGACTGTCATAGCGGCAGGACTAATGGGCTCAGCATAACCACTGCAAGGATGACATAGGACCGGGTAGTGTTTCATTCTGTTGTGCATAGGATCAGTCACTATGAGTCAGAACCAACTCGACAGCACCCAACAACAACAAATTTAGAACCTATTTACTAAAAATGGGTACTCTCAGCCGCATGTAACAGGTATCTGGATCAAAGAGTGATCTCTTCAGATATGTTTCCTCTATACTACCAGTGACAAAATGCTAACTATGATGTGGGTTCTCAGACGGACTGTACTTAAATACATTCATATGCTTAGGACAGCTAATCTTTTCAGTTCCTCCTGAAAGTTTTTTTAATTCTAGGATTCTAGATGTATTTTGAAGTATTTAAAAAGTCAAGGGTGAGAATTACTAATAAAAAATGTGCTCATTACTGTGAACCTCTTTGGTGCTAATCTCAGTACTTTGCCTATTAACTAAAGTAATTTATCTGGAGACCATTATGTCTGATCCAAATATTCTTTTGGCATAAAATCATGTTACTATATTCTTATTCAAAAAGATCATTAGTTTCTCACTTATCAAATAGTATTGTATGCTTTAAAGATAAGCTTAGAGAAGATCATAGAATACCGACATAAATTGCAGCACTGAGGAAACCGAGGAAGGCTTCCAGGGCAAGATGGTGGAGTAGGCAGACACACAGAACAGATCCTCTAAAAAAAAGACGTGGGTGACTAAGTGAAATAAATATAAAGATTGGGATCCTGGAACTCCGAGAATCAGAGGATAGGAGAGAGAGGTGGATTGAGTGCCAACTGAAAGAGGAAGCGGAATAGGAGCAATGAGAAAGAAGGAAAATGGTCAGTCAGCTGGTGTGGAGCAGTGCACCCATTTTGAGCTTTTGGGAGTGGTTGTTGATATGCGGCCTGCATGCACAGGACAGGTTAGCTGCAGGCTGTTGAGTGCAGTTCTTCCTTGTTGCTGTCCTCTTCAGGTAGCTGGGGGAGTGGTTAGTCTCCATTCTCACCAACCCAGAAGCCAGTGTCACTCCCACCTGTGCATCCTCTGCTCTGCCTGGGATATAACGCAGCAGCAACAACAAAACAAAATAAAAAGAGGAAAGGGCGCTGTGGGTTAATGCACTGGGCTGCAAGGTCACTTTGAAATGCAAGGTCGGCAGTTCAAGCTTACCAGTTGCTCCTTGAAAACCCTATACAGGGTTGCTATGGTACCAACTAGATGACACTTAACAACAACAGTATACCTACAAACTTACAAATGAAGAGTCAATTTCTAACCACCACAGCACTTTAAGTCAAAGTTTGGGATATATAATTAAAAACGTTGTGTATTCATAGGGTTATTTCGTTTTCACAAACATTTTTTACTTAAGGTTTTATAAATAAGATATGTTATTTATAATTACAACATAGAAGGGGAGTTGGACAACAAAAATCATTCTGTCAGTATGGTCTAACTCTCCTTAAAGTAAGTAAAATAAATGGTTAAAATTAGGTTGTGAAATATTGAGTGAATTAGTTTTATAAAGCATGCAACTTGGGCTTTAAACAAACTTTTGGTTTTTATTTTGAAAGTACATGAGAAACAATCCATAAAACTACTAGGGTGGAGCATAGTGGTACAATTTTGTGTACATATATTTTCTGAAATTTGGACAAAATAGCAAAACATTAAAATTTGAAAACCTTTTTTACCTTTCTCCTCTTACAAAGAATTCTAGAATGTCAGGTATACTAAGATGAAATGCAATGTCTTATTAGTTTCAAAATATACTTCGTTTTGTGATAGCTAAAAATTTCAAATACACTTTGTTTTCCAGATTTAAATATGTGATTGTTAACATTTAATATATATGTATGTATATAGGGAGTCACTGGGCTAATGTGTCAGACTGCAAAATCGTTTGCACTGCAAGGTCAGTATTTCAAGCTCACCAACTGCTCCTTGGAAAACCTGTACAGGGTCGCTATGGGGCGGAATTGATTCGACAGCACTTAATGACAACATATATAGGGAGTCCTTTTGTGACGCTATAAGATAAGCACTGGACTACCAGGTCAGTTTGACTGGCAAGGCTGATGGCCCAACTCACCAGCTGCTCCTTTGAGTAAGAACTGACTCAATAGCACTTAACAACAACAAATATATATATATATACACACACACACACACACACACACACACACACACATTGGGAGAAATATGAGGCTTTCTGCTCCGGTAAAGATATAAGTCTCAGAAATCCTAAACTCTGTATAGGGCTTCTGAGGAGCAACAGGTGAGTTTGAACTGGCAACCTTGTGGTTCAAACCAACCTTGTGGTCAAGTACTTACCTTACTGTGCCACTCCAGGACTGTATATATATATACACATTTGCTGTTGTTGTGAAGTGTCATGGGTTTCCAAGGAGCTTCTGGTGAGTTTGAACCACCCATCTTGTGGTTCAAACCAACCTTGC